GGTCGTTTCAAAGGTGTCAGGACACGTGGCTCTGATAGGTGCATGGATCTTCCAACTTCTGCCTTGTTGTTTGCCTCTTGGGCTGGTTTGATAGATGAAAACAAAACCATCACTTTGGGCCTTGCGGCACCGTCAAAGGATCCATGGTATAATACATTCTACCAGGACCCTCCAAGGGGTGTCCAATGGACTACCCCACACTACCTATAGGCTTCCATTGGGCACCCCTTGGAGGGCCTGGTATATTTCGTTTAACATTTACCTGGGCCCGACTTCGTACCCTCGAAAATGGGACATGACCCGAAGAACACACATACCAGGGCCCCCTTACTAAGGGGTGATTCATGGATAGCCCGAAAAACCTCTAAGGAGCTATAAGAAAGACACCCCGCAACCGGCCGGGTGCCCTGGTATAGCTATAGTCTCCACCTGTCCACAGGTCTCCCCGCAAATTCCCATCGACAAAAGGTCTTCCGGACTGTAGGTTGGAGCGCACGCGAGCGCCCCTGACGCAACTCGGGTCTTCCGCCATGTGACGGGATGAGGTCCGCCTCTCGAAGTTCCAGAATCTGCGGTGGCCGGCCGAGAACGCATGGCCACGAGTCCGGGGGCAGGGGGGAGCGCCACGCGTGGTGTGGCGGACGAGACCTCCGCGACGGTGGAGCCACACCCAAAAATACACACCCTCTTGGTGCCTCCTCTGGGCCTGAGCCTATAAGGATGGTCAAGAAACCAAAAACCATCGTTTTTGGGACTGAACTCTGAGTTCTTTTCATGATCTGAGATGAACTGAGTTCTTTTCATGATCAGCCAGGGAAAGCAAGGATGATCAGTTCTGAGCAAGGAATCATCATCCGAGGCCCTTGAGTCCCAGAGAGCGAGGCGTCGATTGAGTCGCTGTGGGTCTCTGAACGTGTGCCACCGAAAATGAAGAATAGACATACCATACCGAGGTTAGTAGAGGCCCTTCTCTAACATAGTGATCAGTGCTTTTACCAACTGTTACAAAAAAGAAATGGACAGACTCAAGCTACATTCTTCTTGTAGTTTTCCGTCATGCTCAGGTGGGGTTGCTGGATGACCCCACAGTGTGGAAAAGACTTCGGCGAACCGATGGCACTCCGTGTCCCCAATCCATCTGCCGTGGCGTGTGATATCAATCCCCACGAAACGGACTTCTGGTTGGGCAGGTGATCCACGGACTTGGGTATCATATCACACGCATCTACCATCATGTATAGAACCCATTTATGACCCATCTATGTCAGTAACATGAAGTAACAGTTCCAGTTCGTTGATCGTCCATCCGGGGAACCCCCCGGACCAATGGCGTCACTACCCGGAACGGCCTGTGCGCTGGCATCGTGTGAGAGCAACGATTCGGAGGAGCCCTGACTCTCAGGTGAGATGTTGCCATTATTCCTGGCGCCCCGCCGGGTTCCGGCGACAGCTACGCACCAAGCAAGGTTGATATGACGCTAGTCTAGTCGAGTACCTCAGAAAATGGGACATGACACGAACAAACAAACAGGTACTTGTATTGAGACTCCAGGCAAACATGTTGGAACTTGTATTGACCTCCGAAACTGCATCGAAGTCTATAAAATAATGTTAAGGCCAAACATGGTCGGTTCCTGGATTATGCACAACAACAACAACAACACCAACACCAACACCAACACCACCACCAGCAGCAGCTGCAGCAGCAGCAGCAGCAACAGCAACGGCAACGGTGTCTTGAAGTTGGTTGATTAGGAATTGAACACACTTCCAGACTCCTGCCTCGGATCCTTCTCTATCTCATCCTGCTCAATTTACTCACAGGCATTCCAAACAAGCAAAACATATCGCCGTCCAGGCATCGGGAAGCGGTAAGGTTTTCGGAGACTCGTCCGCGGCCTCAGCGAGCCGAGCAATTTCAACATGCTCTTCTGGTGGGCACGCATGGCAGCTCTCAAGGCACTTTGCTGCTGTTCCAGCATCAAGGACCTCGAGCGAGGAACGAAAGCAAGTCATCGAGCAAGGAACCATCATCCTAGATGTGGAGACGCCCCGAATTGGAGGGGAAGATCTGGAATGCCGAACATCTTCCAAGCGTGCCAAATTGATGCCGAACTGCATCGATAACATCAGCCAAAAGGCAAAATCAGATATATTATACCAGGACCATCCAAGAGGTGCCTATATAAAGGTAAAGGGGGTGTCCAAAAAACACCTGTTGGAAGGTCCTGGTATCTAGAATGTTACTAGCAAAATCCATTCCAATCCGAATCCTATCAGGTGTTGTGTTACAGTGAAATCCGCGCATCAAACCTGCCCCTGCCAAGCTGCAAATCATCCTCCAGGCTCAGCATCGGTTCTTGCAAAAGCGTCTGCCAACCTCGCCGGCAAAAGCAGCTCAAGAAGGCAACAGGGTTTTTGGTTGGAAGAAGCCGCAAAGTGCTTCCGAAAGGTGATCAAACATCGGTACAGGAGGTCCTAGATTGATCGAACAATGCCCAAGTTGCCTACCTGAGATGGCCTCCAAATGGAAAATCCAAGCATGCCAGTAAAACAACCAAAACCTGGACCCTCCAAAATACCTTTGAACATAGTGCTGGTAGTGGATCCATAGGGTGACTGCATGATGTTCCAAGGTCTTTCTCAGTGCTTCCTGTCCCAACTCCTCCGAAAGGACGATCGCCCTGTGTTCATCGGCGCTCCATCGACTGGGGCGACTGGTCGCCCCAGCGAAGCCGCGCGGCCGAAGACGGTGGGACCCGATGTAACGAGGACCCGACAACAACAGGTCAAACGGACTGTACCTCCTGGCCCATATCCTCAGGTTCGGTGGTTAGACCCCCCTGGCACCCACCCCAACCATCGAACCTCAGGAGGTGGGCCAGGAGCCCTAGGGGTACATACCCATGTTGGAAGGTACGAACTCAGACGCAAAGCAACTCGACCGCCAAAAAAGAACCAAAGCCCCGCTGAATTCGTGGTGTCGATCAATAGCCTTTTGTGTCGAACTTGACCACGCCGACAGGGGATCCTGGTACTTGCGCATTATTGCTTACCCTAAGAATCCTTGGGCTCTCCATGGCAGGGGTCGGACCCTCCATAGCAAGGGTCTGGGCCCTCAAAACCCTATCTGTTTGAGAGCCCGGATTCTTAGGGTAGGGATTAATAACATAAAACAAAACCTGGACCCTCCAATTCGTACCCATGGGGCCTGACCATATAGAAGATGGTCATTACTTGCACCCAGTTTATGAGGTCATACCACTCATGAAGAAAACAGTGAAGGAGGGCTCAGAATTGTCCATTTCTTTCTGCATCTGTGTCCTTCCATGCGTCCTTGATCTCATCACGGAAACCCCCATTTTCCACGGTCCACCCTCCAATCCGCATCCTTTGGGGGTTCCTTCAAGCCTTCATTGTCCATGGCCATCCGATGGTCAGGAGCCGACGGACAGGCTGCGAAAACCCAGCGCAAGGGCGGTTGAGACGGATCCAGGGGTGGAAGTCGCTTGAACTTCGATTCTGGACTAAAGGACAATGGTGTGGGCGAGCCTTCCGAAACGCCTTCGATGAGACATCTTCAGCTTGAAAACATCTTTCTATTGGCTGGGTGTGTCAAAGTTTGGATGTCTGAGCCAGCAAAGTGCTTGTTGGGCGCGATCGATATCAGAGTGGTCTGGGAGTGACAGCGGCTCATGGACCAAGAACGCCACAAAAAGTTGATCTCCCTCTTTTTGCTTCCGAAGCTCTCAACGGCAAACAGCTCACAGAAACAACATATCAATCCACGGATCTCAAGATTCCAGTTGGTACCCTAAAAAATGGGACGAACTGAGACTCCACATAGATTCCTTCCCCCATCACCCCAAAGTGGCTAGGCTCACCTCATAAAGTGAAGTTCTCCACTCTTGCCACACTTGCCACGAACAAGATCAACTGATGCTGGGAATCCACCATCGAATTGATTTGCTTATAAAACATGTTTATGAAACATCCAGGATCATCCAGGGGGCTCTGGATGATCGATTACAACGGTTCGATCCGGTCCTCGTCTCGCTCATTGTGGATGTTAAGGTCTCGATGATGGGTCCATTCTTGCCGAATCCCAACCACGACCCCTTCTCGGGGTCGACCGGTGACCGAAACGGTACCGAAACCACCTGGGAGGGCCCGACTGGAAGTCGGATTCGAAGCTGGTGGTTGGGGTGAAGGGCCGGCGCTAGACGTCGACTGTCTTTGCCCGTACCTTTCTGATCTGGAGGGCTTGTGGACCTCCATGGACCTCCCAAAAATACCACCCCTTTTGGGATCCTGAAGCCGCCAGGGCTTCATCGGACGTTTCAGCAGTTCCAGGTCGGAAGGGTTGGCTGTTTCGTCCCATGGGTTTTGTTCGTGGACCATGGCAACGCTGTGGACCTCCTGAATCATCGCCTTTGATGGTCAAAAGAATTACTTCAGAACAAAGGGTGGCCAAGGGTGGTGCACCGTGATGCACAGTGCACAGTGCATGCACAAAAAGGTTTGGTGAGTGTCAATGTATAGTATAATACAGACTGCAACAGTGGAACTGTAACAAGAAACACCCAGGGCCAGGACCTTCAATATGATTCAACCCCTGTCTATCCCCAAAGAGCTTTCTCTTGTCTTCGAACATGAAGTGCTCAAAGCAAATCCGCCCAAACTGCTGTGAGACCCATAAGAATGAGCATGGTGATCTTGGACCAGGCATTTTGTGAGATGTTGTAAGAGGACACGCATACAAAATGACAAAGGCTATCAAAGGCTCTTGTTTGGCTTTACAGAATGCTGGGGCTTTACTGTAGTGAGATGTCCATCACCAGCTTCTTCAGTTCGAGGCCTTTTTGGAGACCTTGTTCTTTGGGCCTTTTCCAGGCCTTTTCGATCAAAACACAAACACACACACACACACACACCGGTCACGTGTTCTCGCAAAAGCACGACTCCTTATCGGATGGACCGGTCATGTTGAGCTTCCGGACCACACCAGGGTCGCGAAGGCCCAGCCGATATTGGCCAAGCCTTGTGGGGTGAAATCCTCGGTGCGGAGTCCTGGTTCGGAGTCGACGAGAGTCCGCCCTGCGGGCGGTTTTGAGGGGGCTGGTAGGAGGTGTCCTTATAAGGCAAAACACACAGGGAGGACATTGTACGAACTGAAACTGAGACTCCAGGTTGCGAGATTGAAGCAAACAAATGACGAACAATTTTAAGTAATGTGAGATCAAAAACATCCCCTAAACAAAGGAGAGAGCACATTCACAGGGACTCTATGAGAGCTAGGACCTAGGAGATCACTTTGAAGGTTTGGACTCTGGTACAAGTGTCCATCGAAATCTTCACCGAAGCTGCTCGGCCACTTCTCCTTTTGTTCCATCCTTGATGGATGGGTGTTGCTCTGTGAGACTCCCTCTTTATAATACACTCACAAATGGATCATAAACTCTTCAAGCTTGGACACACTCTGCTTCCCGTGTAGCCTCTAAGAGTTGCTAGGGCCGCGCGCACGGGCATTCTTGGCCACCTCTTGTGCAATGCAATCCTTGGGCGGAGCAAGGTCCAGCAAGGCGTTCAGCTTTTAAAGAACAAGGTCATGGGGATGTCATAGTTGTGTCTTCAACGTTGAGCTTCAAAAGATGTCTAAACTCGATCTATATACTCGGGATCATAGATCAATGAGACGTCTTGAGAGGCTGAACCTCCCCGCAAACCTTCTTCTGTGTCTGGGCGGATACTTGGTCGGATCCGACCTCTCTGCCGATCTGATCCGTTGGTTTCTCCATCACTTCCAGCGATGCGATCCACATCGCCGCCCTCCCGCGACGGTGGGAACACGTGGTGTATCCCATTCCCTGTAACAGGGGGTGATGGTTTAGGCAGGCCAAGAGCTCTCAAGAGCTCACAGGTAGTTGGATATGCTATGAGTTTATATGCTTTTATTACAGCGTGGACTGGGAAACACACCATGTGGATCCCTACATATCCCGACTATAGGATCCTATAAGGGGTGGTTAATAGACACTCGTCTACCTCTAAGGAGCTATTAATGGACACTCCTTAAGGGGTCCTGATATAGGGCATCTTGGTGACTGCCGACCCCTTGAGTTGTCACCGTCGACCAGACCTGAAACAACCTCACCGGGTGACCATACTTGGACGAACTCGTTCGTACCCTAGAGTCGAAAATTGCATGAGATTTAAAGGACAAAACGCACATACTGGTACCATCTGGTACCCATTGTCCAAGGTACAAACTCACAGTTCGACTCCATACATACCGATCCCTACAGTGCCTTCCTATGGTTCCTCGCCCAGTTCCGTCACTTTCCACTGAGCTCATGACCAAAAGCCGTCGCTCACTTGAGCCCTGCACCACTGGCGGAAGGACCGGCTGGGATGCGCGGAAGGGCAGTCGAAAAGCACTGGTGCAGCTAGAGGAAAGCAGGATGAAAAGGCTGAAATCCTCAGGCATGTGTGTTTTCGGATTCTTCGGGAGGGTGTGTGTGGTCAAAGTCTTGGGCGTCTTGGGTTCGGGCAACGGGTATCTGATAAGACATCGACTGACGAATGGTAGTATTCCTGCACAAAGAATTCATGTTTTTTGATGATCGCTGCAGTAGTTTGCCAGGTGGCTCACGCCTCATGTCAACCTTTTCCAAAATCACTCTTGTGTAATTATGTAATTAATCTTGTCTGTACTTACAAACTTGTCTGGAAAAGGCACCTTCTTGAACATGAAAAACAAATCTTCACCGGCCGCCCCGAGACGCCAGGCACCTCTGGATCTGCCAAGAGCCGTGCCATGGCCCAAGCCGTGTTTGCCAAACCTGACCAAGAAACTGCAGCTGATGCAAAGTGTGCACACTAACCGGAGAGGAAGTCCCACTGTGCTTTATCTGACAAGTTGAGGGTGGGACACTCCACAGGCTGCGCCTGCTGTCTGCCGGCCATGAAGTTTTTGGTCCATCGCGCAAACGTTTTAAGGTTCGGTTCACATCCCAGGTACCAGGACCGAAACCGTTTGTCTGGTGGTGTTGGAGTGTCCCGACTCACCACCTCCAGCTCGAGGCTATTTACAAACACCCCTTGGAAGGTCCTGGTAGAGGATGCTGTTCGGATTCTACTTCAAAAAGCACGGGAATCCGGAAACAAAACAATACATATTGATCCATCGCTAGGGGAGTCACCCGGGAGCCTTCAACCATCCAAAATCACCTTGTTTTGCTTCTGTTCAGCAAATGCAAATGATTTGGCGGGGAAGAACATTGACTGTTTTTCAGCAAATCCCATCTGTTCCACATCGAAAAACATCGACTACTGAACCCGCTGCATCGAAAGAAAACTGACGTCCCACCACCTGGTGGGTGATCCTGACCCCCAAACTCCCCTCCACTAGCGGTGTCTGCGAATTCGAATCTGCGGGGGCACGGCAAGTCTCCTTTGAGTCGAAGTGCGGCGCCTTGTGCTTGGAAGTCCGGGAAAATCCGCAGCGCCATCTCCGCCACCTTCTGCGCCGCGGAGGCACCCGGCACGGGCCGGGCGATGGCAAAGCTCCAGGCCTTGGGTGACACGATGGCAAGCGACGGACTGCAGCAACTGCAGGTGATTGGAGGCGTCACGGGGTCGTCAGAAATCAGAGTTCAAGTGATTCTGGGAAGGGACTCATGAGCTGAGGAGGAGCGGAAGCACTGATGCTGAGGAGGAGGGGAAGCGATCTGCACTAGAACCAGGGATCAGAACACAATTATAATACCCGGACACTCCATGGGACTGCCATATATGCCACCCGATTGACCCCTCAAACCACCCCAACTGATCGGCATATATGGCATATACGTGGAGTGTCTGGGATATAGATAATTAGATTGACAATGTTCCGTCCAGGAACGCAATCCTTAAAACCAACAATATCTTGCTGATGTCGAATCCCAATAGTCACATGGGAGGGAGTATTTTTTCATTCGCATCCAGTCGAAAGCCTATGGCTTGTGGAGTTAAGCAGCAAATGCCAAAAGCTGAATTACAGAAAGGCTGGCTAGACACAAGCCAAAGCGCGCAAACTCCGAAGCGAGCAAAGCCTAACTGCCAGGGTGCCATGTGGTGTCACCACTTCCGGGTGTACAGGCAGCCTGGGACGATGCATTCCGCTCGGATCCCTATTAGAACCCCAGTATGGCAGCCGCTCACGCTGCGCACAATACCTTCTGAATGGCTACAGCCCAGTCATGAAGCTGAAGCAAAGACCTACCGCGCGGCTCAGCTGACAACAGCTCACACCACCAACGCCGGCACTCCTGGTCCATGTCCTGCTGCATGCCACAAAGCAAGAGAGAGCCTAGCAAAATGCCAAGATCCATGCTCTCCCAGTCGTGGTAGAATGCTTGCACATCCCGTTCCGCTGCCTTCATGCACTCCTCCCCAATGACAAGCAGGGTATCCTGATCTGAGCGAAATGAGACACCAGATTCCTCCAAGTCATTCTTCAGGTTCAAGAAGTCCATCTCGAGGGCGAGAACATCGTCCCGCTCAGCACCAAACACTTTGGGGCCATAAAGCGAAACGGTCTCCACCCGTTTTGCTCCCGTCAGAGAGGTGAAGGGATCTGCAGGAAGATCCTCCCGTTCCTCTTCCGGGATCCCAAACTCCTTCAGCCAGGCAGCACACACATTGCTTCTGCCCATTCTTGACACATATATATATATATATCGAAGTGTATGCGAAGACGATTGCGTGTCCAGAAGTGGTGTAGGCAAACTGGGCAAGTAGATCCATGTATGTACCCCGCCGTGGATGTCCGCTTTCCTGGTTGCAAATCCACGACCGCAATGACACCGGCATTGAACCTGCAACCACAGGTCCTGCAAGGTGTCATCTTCGTCTCCTCGGTCAGTTATGCGCGGATGAACTAGCTGAGTCACATAGCCATGTTTCCGGACAGCCGTCCTCAGCACGTGCTGCCATCCAGGTTTACCCTGTTTCCATGTCTCCCACGGAGTGCTAAGGGAGGTGCCCCAGGAAGAGAGGTCCATCAGGGCGCCCAACCAATTCAGGTCCTCAACAATCTCACCCCTCCAGCTCCGGTCCATAGCACCCTCTTCCAGAAGAAGCTCCTCATGCAGGAAAGATGGTGCAAACCTAGCAAGCCGTGCTGCCAGGAGAAACCGCTGCTGAGCCAGACGAACTGACAAAGAGGCACATCCAGTCTTCTGGAGAATCGCCTGATCTGTGAGGACTTCCTTTGTGTGCGTCTTCACCTGACCAAGTGGCCGACGAAGGAGGCCAACATAGCAAACAGTGAGCCTGCGCATGTCGGCACAAGTCAGTCCACTCCAACTGCCGCAACCGTAGAGAAGCTTGGTGAACACCAAAGTCTCCAGCAAGAAAATCCGCGTAAGAGCCAATTGCATGGGTTCCCCCTGAAGCTTCATTGCTACCTGGATATGAGGTTCCCTCCTCAGCTGCTCACGGTGAACGCGAGCCTCAGGGCCAGCATAGGTCACCATCACCTCAGTTTTCCCCTTGCTCATATTGAGTGTCATTCCATATTGATGAAAGACATTGAAGACCGCTACAAAGGCTTTCCGGATCTCATCCTCCATCTCAGCATTCTGGGCTGCCAGCAGAGGCACCGCCAAGTCGTCGGCCCACACCACCTGAACAGCCTGACACTGCAAGGCATCACGTGCCGCTCTCTGGTAGCTATCTGCTCCTCAATCTGCTTGACAATGGGGCTCATCAAACAGTGAAAGAGGGCATCTGCCAAGGGGCTGCCCGGTCTGGAGCCCCGTGCAGTACGCACTCCTTTCCCCTGGATGGTCGACCAGGTAAAACCATGAAGTTCCCGCATCAGAGCCTTCAAAATGCCATCAGGGAGGATTCCATGGGTCTGAGTGATCTTATCAATGATCTCATCCTCAAAGCCCTCCTGATCCAAGGTCTTTTGCAATGCTCGAAGATCAGTGGGTCCTCCCAACCCAGCACCCAATACAAGTTCACGGACCAGTGAATGGAATGCAGAGCGTAGGTCCACGTACAAGATGGCACTAGGCATCCTGGCAGCATATGCCCGGCGCATGACCGTACGCACATAGAGGCTACCAAACAGACCTGAGAAGCTGCAAAACGAAAGCCAGCGCTTCCCCTTTTCGACAACTGCGCGTCGAAGCAAGCAGAGAAGAGCTGTACATCGTCAAGCACGATCTAACAGAAAAAACGGCTCTAGTCAGTTATCTGGTGTTTACTATCTCCAGAATATTCCTGGAGTCAATCGATTTGGTACAACTTGGACGTGGACCTCCCCCACAGAAGAAATGCAAAGTCTTGGCAAGCTTGTTATACCTCATACGAACCTCAAGCGGGCCTCTGGGGTCTTCGTCAAACTCTGCTACAACTGCGACCAGGTTGTAGAAGGCCCCATGAAAAAGGTCACTTGGAGTTCCGCTCGATTCTTTCACCTCTGGGTGAGGTCATTCATAGGTCAACGTTCCCTTCTCCCGCGCCCCGGCCGGAGTGGAAAACGGGTAGTCCAACAAAAAGGCCCGGAATTGCATGTGCTGCCGGTGGGTCTGTTTCCAAAGACCTTGGTCAAAGACAAAACAAGCGACATATGATCCAAAGGATGACAGCTAGGCTAGTTGCGAGGCTTTGTCGGCACTCTAACGCCCTTTTGCTGGAGAGTCTGTCTAGGTGACCGCTCCACATGGTTCCTGGCATTGTGTTGTGTTAAGGTCAACGTCGCGGCAAAGGACCACCTCTCAGCTAAGGAAAGGCAAACGAAAATGAGCTCGCGCAGCCGCTTGCGGCCGCGTGTCAAATCTGCTTCATGTCTTGTTCTGCCGACACATAGGTAACCCTTTTCTTCAAAAAAAAATTTCAAGCTAAATTCAAGGCGGCCTGAGACCAGGCGTTGTGGTTGTGATGACTCGTGGTGGCTTACGGCGGCTTCCATTTTGGGACCCCTATGCGGTCCTATAGAGACCCAGGGTAGCTATAGTGCAGCTACCAGGTCTAGTACTTCAAGTTCCCTTTCCGTCAACCGCTCGATTACCTCTACACACGCACAGCAGTCCACAGCTTTGAAGTCTCATTCGTGCTTTGAACTTGTATAGGTGTGTAAGAGGTACAAGCTACATTCAAGGTGGCCTGAGACGAGGGTTTCTTGCGGCCGCGTGTCAAATCTGCTTCATGTCTTGTTCTGCCGACACATAGGTAACCCTTTTCTTCAAAGAAACAGTTGTTCAAGCTAAATTCAAGGCGGCCTGAGACCAGGCGTTGTGGTTGTGATGACTCGTGGTGGCTTACGGCGGCTTCCATTTTGGGACCACTATGCGGTCCTATACAGACCTCGATTACCTCTACACACGCACAGCAATCCACAGCTTTGAAGTCTCATTCGTGCTTTGAACTTGTATAGGTGTGTAAGAGGTACAAGCTACATTCAAGGTGGCCTGAGACGAGGGTTTGCTGCCCTAAAACACTCAAGCAGCAGAAGGACAACATGCATCCTCTGCTCTCGCTTCGCAGACCGTCATTTTGAAGCTGGCCTGAACAGAGTGTTTTAGGGCAGCAAACCCTGGTCTCAGGCCACCTTGAATATAGCTTGAAAACCACAGCTTTGAAGCCTCATGCGCGCCATACCTGGG